TGGTTCTTGGCAGAAGAGGGCATCCAGACGATACTCAAATACATGTATTTTGCTCACTCTTACTCGTAGTCTCTTCGGCAAAGATCTGAGCTCATTTACACAGATATTCCAGCAAGGAGGAAGTGCTTGACCTCTAACCAAATATAGAAGTGTGTCTTATACTCTTGAGAGCACTTTATCTACGAGTCATGAGTGGCGGCAGGGTTAGGAAACCAGGGGAAGTCGCCGCGCCGCGCTGTCGGCTCACCGGCCATCACCGCGCGCCGAGTTGCCGCTGACGGGCAAACCTCAATAACGCGCGTCGCCTCGATAACGACGCGGCAACCGTTAACGAGCCCGTTAACGGCCCCTCCTTATCGAACTTTGAGCGTCCCTATTGCCGCCGAGGCTGTTCTATACACCTGCCTGGAACCACGTTGTGAGCTCAAGCTACCCGCATGGGGGATCCTGACGACAATGTGCGATGGCCGGCGCCTTCTAGAAAGTCAGCAGCAGGTCGCGGCAGGATATGTTTTCCACTATGGGAAAACACGTCTATCTCATCTGCACACACGCCTTTTCGAGTTGCGAGACTGTTCGCACAAGTACCTCTCCATGTTCTGCGGCTGTGGCTGTCTCCAAGCAGGCGTCGGTGCTTGTACTGGCTGTGGGAGAGCATATTACAACTCGGCCGCCTGTCAACAAAGGTACGTAATTGAAATACTACATCCGATCACTCCACTTAGAGCACTACAGGGACTGGCCCCGTCATCGTGAGACCTGTCGAGGGGTATGGCAGGCTATTGCCCACTTGGCAAAGGATACGCCTCATGAGTATGTCGAATGGGAGGCGTAGGTCTCGTCAAACATGCCGACAGCGGCATAGCGTCGGCAGCTCCGGCAGCCGAAAGACCTTCTCGGCCACATCGGCTCGTCTACGGACATCTCGGCACATGTAATAGTTGCTTATCATGAATAAATACAAGTAGCTATGTGCCTGGCCTTCGTTAAGAACTTCTGACACACATTCTCAGTACGCCGGAGCAGCATGGGGTAATCAATGAACCTCAATCAGCGCCTGTAAACTACTGTCAGATCAGTGATGTTACTATGGGCTCCGGTGGGGCCCCGGTTCCTGACCCGCTGCGCGGTGATCACAGCGCTTGGCATGTTTCTCATGTCTTGAAACATGTGAAACCCAGACACAATGAGCATTTGAGACTGCCAGAGTATTGTCATGTTATGCAGTGCTGGAGATGTCGTATTGAAAGAGCTGTACATCGAACATTCGCACCTTCAGCAGCCGGTCTGACGTTCGGCTGCCGGACTGGTCTTAGCTGCCGAACCGGCCGCGCCGGCACTTGAGGTGCAGTGCTACATCTTGTCTTTCTTGCTGGTATATGCTGGTATATACTCTACAAGTGCCTTGCATATACCCTTGTTTACGTCTAGTCATATATATTACATGCGCTGCGCTTTTGCTCTGGCTTGATAGTGAGTACGTGTCCTTTTGAGCAAGGAATGATGAGTTTCGCATTCTGCCATCTCCATGCTCTTATATACGTTTACCCGTATCCAGATTCAACTTGGAGGGAGTTCACAATATACCAGTAGTAAAGAATCGTACTTTTGCATGCAGTATTGGTGGCGTTCCGGCCGGCAGCGTCGATTATGACTGCCAGTATGTGTGTTTGGACGATGAATGTGGGAAGAGGAAGCGAGGCATACTGTCTGTCCCTTACTTCGGAAGGCTTCCGAAGTGTGACTGAGAGTGTATGAAGCTTAAGCAGCGGTATACCCAGCTTTCTTGAGCAACTGGAGGCTTTCCGGGGCGTTGAGGATGAGCTGTAGGCCAAGATGTTGCCGGGAGAAGGGTCGCGAGAGGCGAAATGCGCGTCTGGTGAACATTGCGAGGCTCCTCTACACTCTCGGAAGCCGTCCGAGGCTGCAAAATGTAGACAGGCGTGTTGGGGCATGCTGCCCGGTTGCGATCTCAAAGGATAGAGGGATCCCGGCAGGTGCGGAAGACGATGTGAGCCAACTTGCCTGTTTGTGGGGAGCAGAGGGGGACGAACAAGAAGCCGCGTCGACCACCCTTTGCTCCCCACAAACAGGCAAGTTGGCTCACATCGTCTTCCGCACCTGCCGGGATCCCTCTATCCTTTGAGATCGCAA